ATATACCATAGACACACATACCACAGACATACACACATGACACACACCACACACAATACACACATAACACAGACTCACCACACACACGCACACCACACACTTACCACATATGCACACCACACACAACACAGACATGCACACCACACACAGATACCACACACACACCACACATAATACACACCACGCAGAACACACACACCACCACACAGACACATGCCACACACAATACACACACCATACACACCAAGACCACACACACAGTACACACACCACACACCCACATCACACATTACACACCACACAGAAAAACACACCACACACACCCACATCACACACCACACACACACACTACACCACAGACACCTCACATATACAAATGCAGGTATCACACAGCCCACACACCATACCACATACACCACACAAACACAAACCACACACATACCAGATACAACGCATGCATACACAAAACATACAAACAAGCACACCACGGACACATACATCATGTGCACGCACACACTTCACTTACTAGACAGCTGGCTGGGGTTCGAAACCAGGGGGGCAACCTGGTGCCTACAGAGGGACACGTGAGACAATCCCCTTTCTCCGTCGGCCAGGGCACACCTCTCATTCGTGGGAGGCCATATAAATCCTCGTTAATAGAGTGGCTAACAATTTCCCTTTCGAGAACTGCAAAATGACCGTGAGGAGGTCCATCCCCTGCACTAGAAATACAGTTTCACCCACCGCCAGCGTGAGGAGGGCTGGGCACTTGCCCCTTCCATGACTTATGTGAAAACCCCACACGTGGCCGAAAAGAATACCCGTAGCATTTCTAAGGCCAAAAACCCAAGTCCCCCTCCCCGGCCCAGCCCCCTGCCCTCCCAGATCCCCTGCCCCTCCCATCACCTCCCATCTTAAACCATGCCCATGTTCACGATCCCTGGAGTCATACAGAAGTGGGGAAAGAAGAGAGGGGAAGGGAAGCTAACTGCTGTGTATATGGGGTGGCGAGGGAGAGTCTGCCCTAGTTCCAAAAATAACTCCAGGAAATCCAGTGCCACGGAGAGGTAGGATTGGTGGAGCGCACTTTAAGACCCGAAAGAAAGGCAGGCCCAGGCAGCCATTCATGTTCCCATCTAGTGCGATGGGAACGGTGACAACCAAAGACCCAGGGACAGAACTGTCCAACCTAGCTCTCCCAGCCAGGGCTCCAAAGCTGCCTGCTTTTCACCAGCTCTCATCCAAAACCCTAACTACCACTACTGACCCGCTGCAGAAGACAACACCCATGTGATTTTAATGACTGGCCACTCTTCCATCAGAGTATCTGGCAACCAAGATACCCGGACCCTTCTTTCTCTAAGATGTGGGCAGCTGTTAAAACCCTCGTATGGATGCTTCATTTGTCATCATCCTACACGGGAACCCTCAAGGAATGGTGATGTCATTGGACCAGATTCAATCTGAGTGTTTTTAAAATGAGGTTGGAAAAATCTTCCACCTTCTTGGCAACCCAGCACACAGAACATCTGGTGGGGTTATTATGCTTGCCACTAAAAGGTTTTGAGAGTACAGACAGGGACTCAGAAGTAAGGCTTGGACCAGTGCAGATTCACTCGCGGTAGGAGGGAAGGGTGGTGGTGGGTACCCCTAGCCAAAGAGCAAGCTGGTAAGAGTGAGAAAGTCCAATCTGGGCTTTGATCCTTGGTTTACTGACTTCTTCTAAAGAAGAGATTTTTAATTCTGCCTCTTAATCTAAAAAGAAGCAGAGCTGGAGACATTAAAGAGAGAAGAATGGCTGGTCAAGCCAAGAGTTTCAGGTGAAACTCTTTTGCCCTCCCACTTCAACCCCAGACTAGTGACTTTACCCTATCAAAAGAAGAGAAAGTAAAGAGAAGGCCTCATGAAGCCACTGTGCGGCCTCATGGCCTGAAGGAGGCCTCTATACCTCAAGAGGAAAGGGTGATGAAGGCACGTCAGGCTCCAGTTCCTCCTCTCCATCACCATCACCATCACCAAGGCCCACAAACATTTCAGCTTGTGGGCAGAGAGGCAACCCGCCACTGCAGCTTATGAAAACAAACACATGAAGCTTGCGAGAATGGAGCTTCCTTCTCCACTGATGAAGAGCTGGAGATCGGATGGGCATCTCAAGACAAGTCTCTCAGCTTTGGGCCTCAGGAGCCCCCAAAAACAAATAAAGTTGAAATACAATGTAAAGATGTTCATGTTTGGTTTGGGCACTTAGTGTTAGAGACTAATTCTAGAAGAAGCAAGAAAGGTCTAGCTAAGAAGCAAGACCTCTCCCAACATCCAGTCTGGGTCCACATGCAGGACCCCACCCCACAATCTGTCCCCGATGCCTCAGTCCCCTTCCCACACACCCTGCATGGCCCCCACTCCCCAGCCAGAAGCCCACCAGGGAATCATTCTTGGTCATCTTGGGATGATACCCCAGCGTATACCCTGCACCCTTACAAGTAACTAAGTCATCACATGCCTCCAAGAGATGCTGAGACTTGACGTCCCCTGGGGTGGTCTCGCCATCCTAACCCATGCCTGACCTCACCCTCTGTGCTCCTTCCAGTCTCCACAACACCTGTCAAAGCACACAGGCTTCCCCTCCACCATCCAGTTCTCCACCTCCTCCTCCTGAAACACCCCTGTCCCATCCATTAACCTAGTCAATCTAGAGCTGGCCAGTAAGACACCCCTGTAGCCCTCTCCCCAGAGCAGCACACACAGCCACGTGGGGCTCTACATACCACCTATCAGAGCCTGTTTCACTTTATCTGAAGAAGATACCCGGGCAGGGCTGGGTCAGAAGCCCTGGTGGGAATATGCACAGCTCCTACAAAGTGCTGCAGAGGCTGGACTCACAGGGCCCCCCACGACCTGCTCAGCTCCATCCTCTGACCCTTCCTGTAGCCCCCCAACCATCCCTGCAGTGCCCCCAAAGTTCCTTTACATGCAAGCAAAGCAAGCCCAAGATTAACCATTAGCTTTTCTTTTCCTAGGTTTCTCTACATATTAATAAAATGTACTTTATGTACAACTCTTCCCCCACCCCACCCCCAAGCCTGGAAAAGGCTTTTGCTAACAAAACGGGAAGAAACAGATTCCAGCCACGCAGTCTTCAGCCCTGGAGATTCAGATCGTGGCCAGTGCCAAAGATGCTGCAGGCTCCGTGAAGTCTGCTTGTCCCCAGAAGCTACTATTTTGTCAACCTTGTCCCCCACCCCAAATAAAGTCAGAAAAGTTCACATTGGAACCTTAACCTAGTTTCCTCGGCATGAAAAGGGCAGAGGAATAAACAAATTAAATCTGCTCAACCCCAAATATTTTAGACCACAAATCAAAAATAAAGATAGAGAACAGGGAAAAATATCAAGAAGTACTCCACTCTCAATCCACCTGGCTTCAGTCTTCCCCCAAGCGCATGGTTGTGGGACTAGGCCACCTGAAAGGAGGGCACAGACCCTGTCAGCCCCCTGGGAAAAAGGCATCCTTCCTGTTAGAAAGTAGGATCTCAAAAGGCCTGTCCTACCCCGTCTTTTGAGGGAAGCTGCTTAGAGCCAGGCTGGCAGCAGTCAGGGCCACTCCCGGATGCTGGACCCCGGGCCACCTCAACAATCCAGCACAGGACCCCACTCGGCACCAGGGAGCCCATCGGCAGCCCGCCAGGAAATCGAGACAGACTTCACCTCCCCACCTCGTCATATGTCTTATCTCCCCACACAAGCACAGGCACCCCGAAGAACCGTTTCACCCTCTTCCTGGTCTGTGGGTCACCTGACACTACAATAGCCACAGTTCCCGGCCACAATGCAGAAGGAAAAGGCAAACAGACATCTGAGATGCAGGAGCAGGTTTTCATCGGAGTCACTTCTACTCCAAGGCCACCAGACCATAAAAGGGGAAGTTTGGAACTCGTAATCTCTCACAGAATGAGCACAGAAGTCCTAAGAAGCTGATTAGTGGTCACTGCCATTGCTCAAAGGCAGACTATGGAGGACACTGGTCCCTCAAGGTGGCTATACCCCCATCACGCACACGTTCACAACCACTCTGTCACATACACCCACACCCAGCACCTAAGCTGTGCCTGTGGCATCTATACCCTCTATCCCATGGAGAGAGGGGACTGTGTTCCATCAATTTCCACTACAAGTCCATGGGGTGCAGGAGGTCTCCTGGCCTCTGAGGACACTGTCACAGGAGGAAGCCCTCATGGGAGCAGAATGAGCTCCAGGCCACTGAGAGATGGGTAGACCTCACGTCCTTGCCTTAGCCCAGGGAAGCCACAGCATAGCGGCCACTCAGTGACCAGCAAAAGCACAGCTCCCCATGTTGGGTCTACGTGCTGAGGTCACGGGCACTGTCAGAGGAAAGCAGGAGTCAGCACCTTGGTTAGCACGGGGGGTGCCCTGAAAGGCACAGCCACAGCCTGAGCGTCTTAGCTCCTCATCTCGTCTGAAAGAAGCAAAGCCTTCTACCTCATCATCTCCTCTTCTTTTCTAACCTGAGGGCTGGAATTCCCAGATGGTGCTCAGAAAAGTTGGCAATGCATCCTGAAGGCTGACCACCTGACGCCCATATCCCAGTCCATCCCAGGGTCTGGCTGACCCTCCTGAGCTCTGCAACAGAGAAGTCCCACGCTGCCAGTGCACAGAGACCGCACGCCAGCCCACAGGAGGCCCGCACCTCCTACCCCAACATCTCAGGTAAGCTGGGTCCCATCATCCCCCAGGAGAGACGCCGAGTGAGCCGCACAGCACGGCATGGAGGCAGAGGGTTTGCTGCCTTGAAAAAGAACACAAAGAGTTGCACGATCCTCCCTCTTGCAGGGCGGCTGCTCAGTGATCAAGTGGATTCCAATGCTCCAGAGATGCACATCAGCCTAAAGGCCCAGGTTCCACCCCAAGGGTGCATGGCCCAGTCTCAGAAGCCCCTCTGTGCCTCTCTCACCACGACCCCTTCAGATGTGTTCAGAAAGGAACCTCGGTGACATGACTTACACGGTAAACCTCAAGGGTGGGCTGGTCCTCAGCTCCCTGGGTGAAAAGAAGGACCAGGGCCTGTGTGACAGAGAAGAAATCCATCCCCTAAGATGGAAATGCCAAGAAGAGACAGCAGCCATCCAAGGCCCCATCCTACAAGGTCACCGGGCCAAGCCCGTGGCCGCTGCATAACACCAGCAGAAGCCATCTAGTGCTGCGTGGCTCATGTCCAAGCAGGGAACTCGGGAGAGGTGGGTGCCTCCAAACCCACCAAGACAGCAGCACCGAGAAGGAAATACTTCAAGGAACCTTCGTTCTAGGCCACACCAGAAGGGGGATCCTACACAAGAGTGGGGTAGGGGCAGGCCTGCCCTCTGCCTCGCCCTCGGGGCCTTCTGCCCTGTCCTTGGGCAGCACCATATCTTATGGGCAGAGAGACATCTTAGTGGGAAGATGACTCACAAGGCTTCTGGATGCTAAGAGTTTGAACCAGGACAAGACTTTGGCAGAGGAAGAGTCAGTGCCCAGACCCTACTCATCATCCCTCCCACCTTCATTCCTACACCTCAGCCACAGAATAGAACTGGGCAAAGAGGGCGGGATCCAGAGTGTCCCATGCCCCAGCAGCTGAAGGTGCCCCAGCTTCACCTGGGCCCATCCTCCAGGAGCTCGGGTCCAAGGGCAGAGGAAGGCCCCAGGGCAGAGAAGAGTCGGCAGGCAGCACGTGGTGAGTATGGGAAAGCCACAGGCGGCTCCGCACAAGTGGTAATTAATCAATCTGGAGAATTAGCTCCCACAAAAGGAAAGGAGGATCCAATCAGCCACTGTGGAACAGCGCTGCAGAGAGTGCTGAGCCGGAGACGGTATAAATAGAGCCGGCAGCTTGGAGCCAGCACAGGTGGCTCCGCAGTGGGGGAGACTTTGGCCACAGAGCTCGCAGCCTGGCTGGGTGGAAGGGTGCCGCTGGATGAGCTGGATTGTGCACCAGGGGCTTGTTTTAGCCCCACGGCTGAGTAGCCCCTGCTTCTGCAGCATGAGCCGCGCTGGAAGAAAGATGAAGGTCTGGCTGCCTGGCCACCCCTTCTGCACCCAGGAACCAGAAAATAAAGGCTTGAGTTTAGTTCTGCAGTAACTCATTGCTGAACCCCCACAGAAGGCAGCCAGTAATCACAGCAAGGCCCCATTTCTGTTCTGGGTGGGAGAAGGTAGGAGACAAACAGAGAATTCAGCTGAGAGGCATGGATCCTGTTTCGGGGAAAGAATCCCCCAAGACAGATATCAGGCACCTGGCCAACGCACAGCCAGCCCTGCTCACAAACCCCCGCTGGCCACTGCCCTCCTCCTCCTGCCTCCACTGACTGCAGAGAGCAACAGCACTTGCCTCAATGTACATATATATACACATAGAGAAACCCACACACTACAGACATATGCATCTGTATCTATATCTATATATATGTGGGGTGTGGAAGATGGACGTTAAGTCCAGCCCTCTTCCAGGACTTGAAAAACTAAACAGAAGCAGAGCAGTAAAAGCCATTGCTTTCCTCTTCACTTCCAAAGACAGTGGAAGAGATGAGAAAAATCAATCTAGCAAAGCAAAGCAGGGGGCAGAGGGGAGGAGACAGGTGTCACCCAGTCTCCAATCCACTTCCTGACCTCAACCCACAGGAGGTCTCCTGCCCTCCGTCCTGAAGACAGGTGGCCAGGATCTGGAGGGAGACACCCACTCTAGCAAAAGAGCGGGCACGCAGGACAAAGGTCTGGGCCGCCCTTGGCAGGCGGAGAAGGACACGCCCCCACACGGTGGCCCTCCCTGCCTGAGCCCAGCAACCTTGCCCAGGGGACACCTAGAGTGAGGTGGAGTCACAGCAGAGTGGCATGGCCTGGGTCATCGTGGTCCACACTGTTGAGAATCGCTGTCTGGTCTTCCGGAAGCTGGCGGTGGCACAAGTCTGAGAGCCGGGCAAAGGGGTCAGGACGAGAGTGTCTCTTCTTCTTTCGGAGGCAGACAGCTTCGTCGGGCCACAGAACCTGAGAGCTGGGAAGCTGCTGAGCCTGGGAGGCAGAACCATCTAGGCAGAAGGGAAGAGGGACACAGAAAAGAAGAAAAGCAAGCAGGTGAAAAGGAAGCACGCAGCCTCACTCGCCTTTTCCACCTGCACATGTTCTGGGTTTCTAATGTTAAAACAAAGG